ATAAAAATGTATCGCCATGAATTTACAAACAAGCATATAGATTTCTCAGATGGACATTGATTCAGTATTGTGTCAGAATAATATGTTAATGCCTCTAGACAAAGATGAACAAACATCTATGATGTTCAAATGTCTTTTTATGCTAAGAGCAAAATAACCTTGTGCCTAGTGCGCTTTAGCAAAAAAAGAAACAAAAAAAAAGGAAAAGATGGAGGAAATCAGTATGAGATGATAATTCATCATTGTCAAAGCCCAAAGCTATATTGTTGATTTTCATATGAAAACCAGAGTTGAAGATTCTGCATACAATTTCAACAAGTGGAAAAGGTTTAAATTTGGTTCTAGGACTATCCTTATAAACTTAACTTCCTGTCACTTCTTCTTTCATTCATATCAGACACCTCACTCATTGTAAATGACCATTTTAACAGCAAGCCTCTACCTTGAGCGACTCTCAAGCCTTGTATTGAGTAAACTTTAGTATGAAAGAAAATGGGCATGTGTATATAGTAATCAGTGAAAATCAAATTTGAACCAAACTTCTTTTGCTATAAAAGAATTCTCTAATTTCAGTCTCAATTTCTGGGATGAGAAATTTCAGTATTTTATACATCTGCCACAACCACATTTATAAAATGTTTTTGCATACTAGAAAAGAAAGTTCAATAAATTTAATAGACATAATATGTCTATTCTTTTTAATAATATAGTAGTAGTAGTAGTAGTAGGTATTCATTTATCTTGCAAGATAATGGTAGTGTGCTCTTTGACCCAAACTCAGTCCTACTGTTCTGAAGAGCATCTGGAGTGGCTTAGCAGTCCAATCTTTACATAGCAGACTTTTCTGCAGAGGTGGCAGATGAAGCTGGAATGTTGAATGAAAGTCTGAGATTACTCCATGTGTTTCCGGAATTGTCATCTGACCTCCTGCTGTTGGTCTTACTTTTCCTTGACCTTCATGACTCCTTCTTGCGCAGCATGGTACAAGCTATTGTGATTGTTTGCACCTATAAAATACTGTCTCCCATATTGTGAAACTGAAGTAGAGTCCTGGATAATGATACATAGAGACCTTGCACTGTCCAGATATGGCCCCGTCTTGGCCTTACCAAAAAGATTCAAAGGAATACAGAGGATTATATTTGGTTTGGCTACAGGAAGATTTGCTGGAAGGTTGTCAGTGTTGACAGTCAACCACCTTTGGATTTTATTACTTCCATAGCATTTTTTTTTTAGATATGGCTGAAAAGCAGCAGGGGTTTACACTAGAAAGTAAACCAAATTACAAAAGTGTCATATCAGGGTTTTTTCTTTCCCCTAGATGGACTGCCTTCCCTGGCTGATAACCTCCATCATCAGCAGCAGTGGTTTACCATGACAACTTGTCTGGTCCAGAGTTGGACTTAATTGTTAGAGACATGCCACAGGAGCATTTTATAGACAATGTGAGCTTTTCCCCACTGCCCACTTGACCTCTTCTATGACCCCTTCTATGAGATATTCTATATATATATATATATATATATATATATTATATATATATATATATATATATATATATATATATATATATATATATATGTGATATATATATATATATATATATATATATATATATATATATATATATATATATATATATATATATATATATATAGGGTGGCACAACAATTGCATCTAGCATGAAACAGCCTGTCACCTCTGAGTGTTGACTTTAATGTTCACTTTTACATTTACATACATTCTGATATTGAGCACTTTCCTCCCATAAATATAGCACACCTTTAAACTATATTGCTTCATATATATATATATATATATATATATATATATATATATATAATGTTAGATAAACTAAAACACTAGAAAGTAAACCAAATTACAAAAGTGTCATACATAAATAAACAAACATGAATATTGGAAATTTTGACATCCGTGGAAAAATATAGATGAAAGAAAAATAGAAATAAAATCAGGATTAATTCCTAAAATATTCAGAGTTTATTAAGTCATTATTTATAATATGCTAAAAATATAATTTACATTAACTTTTTGACAGTGCTTACTCCTAAACTATCAAATGATGAAAAATAAATGAGAGTAGAAAAGGCATCGTTGATAAATATAACTTTTTGGTTAGCAAAAACATAAAATAAAAACAAGACTAATGATCTTCAGGATAGTTGTACAAAAATAAATACTAATGCTGAGAAACACTGTAAATGTGGAAACAGTCAAAAGAAATAATAATAATTACTAGATATATAAATACAATAAAATAAATATCTAAAAACTGCAAATTATACTAAATTATTATATTACTTTTAAGCAATATCTATATTTCTTTCAGTTAAAATTAAATTCCATTTTTTTACATCCTTGAAAAAATGTGTCATTTCTCCTTGAGTTCAGAATTCAAAAATAATATATATATATATATATATATATATATATATATGATAATTTTTGTTGCATTGAAAAATCTTACATGTTTTTCTATGTAGACATCATTTTCAGTCATTTCACCTAATCTCTCCTTGAGTTCAGAATGTAAATATGTATATATATATATTATTTTTTGAGAATATTTATATTATTGATTTGAAAACTTATATACTAGTTTATATCCAACCTATCAGGTGGGATTTAAGTTAGCTACTGGGAGGGCTCTTGATTGGGCCTTCATCACAATAGGTAAGGAGGAGTTGGTGCAATAGGCAACAATAAACTATAGAATAACTAAAAATTGATCGCTGCATGTAAGTATTGCATTAATATTTAAGCTTACCTTTTAAAAGTTCATTGATAATTCTCCTGCTGCCACTTAATTTAAAGACAATTTGATGTATGTAGATTCTTATTTTGCATACAAACAATTATTTTTATTTCATGGATGACTTTTGCAATTAATTTAAATTATTTCCAAATTTATTACCAAGTTATAAAAATTGTTATCGCACAAAAAATTTGCTGAAAAAAATTACATAAAAAATGAAAACTTGGGAATCCAAAATTTCAGGATTGCAGATCTGGGTCCGGCCCAGAATGTTTTAAATTTGCTCATGGAGTTGGCCTTATTCTAAAATGGTATGATATACTGGGCTACAATCTATAGAAGTAAAGTTGAAAAAGTGTGATGCTGTGACACACTGACATTAGCATTTATCATATATATATATACACACACACATATATATATATATATATATATATATATATATATATATATATATATATGTGTGTGTGTGTGTGTGTGTGTGTGTGTGTTGGATTGAAAAATCTTACATGTTTGTCCATGTAGCCATCATTTATTGTCATGTCACTCCACCAGAATTACAAGAATGCATGTCATCAGAGAAAATTAAAATACCTGACTGCAAAACTGTGATCAGATGCCTGAATAAAAAGTGGTTGCATTGAAAATCTAAACTAAAGATATCAAAACTGAGCTGCATTGGAGAAAGAAAATCAGTGATACCAACTGAACAGAGACATTCTGATGCTAATGTGGATGAAATGGAATATATCCAGTAATTGGTTGTGTAAGTTTCTTTGCATATTTAGTGATGAGAACACAAAATTTTGGACAGTCTATTTGCCAACCCTCATCAGGTATATTCCCATGAGGAAAAATAAAAGAAACCTCTTGAATCAAGAAAACCAAACTGACAAGAGCTCAAAAATAGATAAGCCAAAATGTTCTGTTAAAAAACAGTAAATATAGGAAAAGATTTGTGCATCCAGAAAGGTTGAATATGTCAATGACCCTTTTCAAAGTTACAGACAATAAAGTAAAGTTATCTGAAATTAAGACCAAATATTCTTTCTACTTATTTATATCATATAGACAGTCTACCTGAGAGATTTTACTCTTAAACATCTATCTTTAACATTGTTCACTCACTCAAATCCTGTAGACCACACCAAGGAGTATGGAGGCCTCAGCTTTCAATATATTAGGTGTTACTGTTAGGCTTTCTGTAGCAAATAGCTTTTTAAAGGTTGGAGTTGTTAGCACCATACTTAACAGATTTTGAATTCAGAATTATCCTTCTCCTTTGACTGGTTGCCAACCAAAGCTGAAGAGCCTAGTCTGCTCTACTATTTAATCCATAGTTAGTTTTACAAGAGAGGGATTCATGCATTTTCCTAGTGTATTTCTGTGAAAGTGAATGTAATGATCTAAACTAAAATTCAAATTTGATGCACGATTCCTTTTCCAAGCTGATAACACTTAGACTACCAGCACATTCTAAATCATTAGCCTAGCCTAGCACAAATACAGATATATAAGTATGTCAATAAGTTTGTAACTTAATGAAAAAAAAAAGCATTGAGATCTTTATTTTTCAACATAACCTCCTTTGTTGTCAATGTACTTAACTAATCATTTCTCCATTAATCATGTGTGAACATTATACAGTGAAAAATCCAGATCAAAGTTAAGTTAATAGCAATGTGTCAGGTTACAAATTTATTGATAGAGCTTTGTATATTGTGTCTAGCAATTTTTGAGTGCTGGTGATTATTTTTTTAATATTTTTGCTACTATCTCAGTAGGAATATTTTAATAATGAATGCCTCAAAGTCTGATGGTTATAGAGGAAATTCTTGGATCATACTTGATAAATTCAACTACAGATAGAAAAACAAATGGAACCCACATATTTGTTTTAGGTTTTAGTTTTTATAATATACATTATTTTTATGAGAATAAATATTTTGGCAAATATAATTTTCTTTCTCTGTTGCCAGGCTTTTGCTCAGCTTACCGAATCTAACAAACCATCTGATCATCTCCAACCCAGCAATGTATATTATAACTAAACAAGCAATAATTCTTCAATGTCAATAAGATCCTATGACCAATCCTGTAATGGTTATAAATAAAATGTCTTCAACCCTTTCAGTCTTGTAAAGCTCTGCTTTTTACACCAAAAGCAACAATATAAGCTCTGGGATTGCAACTGCCCATTATGCCTGGCAGAGGTATATGAAAAATGCAAGCTGAAAAATGGGTGGGTGTTCAAACTGTATACTCACAATAACTGATATGCCTACTATCAAATAACAATACAATATTGTGCAAATACTAATTTAGAATGCAGTTAAGTCAGGGCTATATCCCTCTTCCAACTGATTCATGACAAAAATATACTCATCCTCGACTTCTATCATGTGTCCAGATTGATCAATTCTGCTGGGACTAATTCAAGAAAAACAGATTAGGGGTGTTATATTTTTCCTTCTTTTTATTTTCTTTCTTCTTCTGTTCTTTTTTTCTTCTTTCTTTAATTTTCCTTTTCCCCTTTATTTCCATCTCTTCCTTGGTTTTTTCATTCTTACTTTCTTTTTACATTCTTACTTGCTATCTTTTTATTTTCCTTCCTTCTTTTTTTCTTCACTTTGTTTCTTCTTCAATCTTTTTTTTTCTTTCTTTCCTTTTTGAATTTCTATCTTCTGATTTTCTTGCTTTATTTACTGTTTTTCATTCCTGTTTTTTTCCTGTCCTCTTTTTTCTTGCTTTTTCCACTTTTACTTCCTTCATTTTTTTTTTTACTTTTCACTCCTCATTTTCTCCATTTATTGGTTCTTTTTTGCTTTTTCTATTCTTCTGTTCTTTCTTCCTTCTTTTTTCTTTACTTGCACTTTTCTTTCTTTCTTTTTCTTCCTTTTTTCATTTTTCTTTCTTTCTTCTCCCACCTGAATTTTCATTCCTTATTTCTTTCTTTATTTTCCTTCTTTACTGTTTTCCTTCTTTACTGTTTTCCTTTTTTACTTTGTTTCTTCTTTTCTTCTGTTTTCTTTTTTTTTCATTTGCCTTCTTTCTTTTACCTTTTTTATTCTTTTTTTCCTTGTTTTTTCTTTTCTTCCCACTTTTTTCTTTCCTTCTATTCAAATCCCTCCTTTTTCCTACCATTTTTCTGTCACAAGGAAAAAAGTAAAGAAAAAAAGAATAAAAAGAAAGAAGGAAGAAATATAAAATAAGATTAGATAGAGCCCAGAGAGAGTTGAGTTGAAAGAGTCTGATGACCACATTTAGGATTTGTGCAGATTAGAGGAAAAAAGAAAAGGACAAGAGGAATATAGAAGAAGATATGAGAGAAAAGGAAAAAAGTTAAGAAGGATGTATGAAAATAAAGAGAGGAGGAAAAGGAAGTGGTGAAGAAGAAAAAGAAGCAACAAAGGATTCAGAGAAAAAGAGGAGAATGAAAAAAAGAAGAAGAGAAGAAAGATTTTAAGAAAGAAAAAGAAAAAAGTGTAAGTAAAAAAAGAAGAGAAGGAAAATACACAAAATGAATACATAAGAGAAGGATAATTATTGAGAGAATAAGAGAAAATAGCAATTGTCCAAGAGAACAAAGAAGAGACACTCATATGGGAAAAACAAGGACAGGAGGATAATTAAAAAATAATGAAAATAATAACAAAAAATCAAAAAAAGTGTAAAGAGTAAAAGAAATAAAGAGTAAAAGAAAGAAAAAGTAACGATTAAAAAAAAAGAGTAAACACAATAAAGAGTAAAGAATGACAGAAAGAAAGAAACAAAAAAGAAAGATAAAAGAATAAAAAATAAAAGAAAGAAATACTATAGAGTAAAAGAAAGAAAGAGTAAAGAGAGAAAGAAAGACTATAGAGTAAGAGAAAGAAAGAGTAAAGAGAGAAAGAAAGAAAGACTATAGTGTAAGAGAAAGAAAGGACAAAGAAAGAACAAAAGAATAAAGATTAAAAAAAGAAAGAAAAGGTGTGAAAAATACATAAGAGAAAAGAAGTTGGAAAGTTGAAGAAAAATTATGATGAATAAGGGTTGAAAGTGAATAAGGAGAAGATAATAGCTGAGAAAAGAGGGTTTGATGATGATAGGAAAACAGGTTTGTGCGTGCAGGGATGATGCTCTCAGATATTTACGTACACAAGGAGTGAGTCATTCTTGGACTGTGCGCTGGTTAGGATTGGTTGGAAGGAAGATGCCTGTTCATATTTAGATGTTCAACACAATTACTTACATGCATATCTACCAACCAGCATGAATTCTGCACAAAAAGCAGGAAGATGATGATACATTTGGGATTAAAAGTCAGAAATCATAATTCCACGCTCCCAATTTATCTTTCATTCTACCTTCCTTCATTTTAATATGCCACGTGTTCTTTATATAAGAGTATATATAGAGATAGATATATTCATATGCATCACACACACATACACATACACACACACACGCACATATATATATATATATATATATATATATATATATATATATATTGTTCAGTACCTATCCTCCTCTTTCTGAGAATGATCTCAGTCAATTTTCAATTTTATTGATTCAATGAACCAACAATAATTGTTCAAATTTTGTTATCTGCCTCCTTTTGTGACTTACATTATTAGGTAGATATAAAACTGCAAAATGGTGACTGCTGGAAATGGAAGATTGAATGAAAGCTGAACTAAATCTGGGAGTTCTTCCTGAGTCTCTTCTGAGCCTATGAAAATTGAACAGTCATTTTTATAACAGAATCAATAGCAGTATGAGCTACAAATTAAGAAAATGACTAATAATAATGAGTAAAAGCCTCTCCCTTTTCTTATTATAGGCAATAAGAATATACATGATTAGGAATTTATTTTATGTTATGGTTTTGATTATGGCTGCATTCTTACCATGAATCTGGGTTCAAATGTCACCATGGTCAAATTATCAAGAAGTATAGAAATTTAAATGTTTTGTAAACATTTTAACAGATGACGGAAAATATGTTAGCAAAATCTGAAGGCATACTGAAATAGCAAATGCCTTCCAAAAGAAAGAGTAAAGAGTGAAAAAAAGACTATCAAGTAAAAGAATGAGAGGAAAAATAAAGCAAAAAGAGTAAAGAGTAAAAGAAAGAAAAAGTAAAGAATAAAAAAGAAAGAAAAAGTAAAGAATAAAAAAGAAAGAAAAAGTAAAGAATAAAAAAGGAAGAAAAAGTAAAGAGTAAAAAAGAAAGTGCAAGAAAAGAAAAGGTGTGAAAAATATAGAGAGAAGAGAAGTTAGAAAGATAAAGAAGAGTTATGATGAAAAAGTGAACAAATTGGATAAGAAGGTGAGGATAATAGGTGAGAAAAGCGGGTTTGATGATGATAGGAAAACAGGGGTGGGGGTAAAGGAAAGATACTCTCATACATACACAAAGTGTGAGTCATTCTTGGACTGTACAGTGGTTAGGACTGGTTGCAAGGAAGGTGTCTGTTCTTATTTAGATGTTCTATATTTTGAAACAGGAACATTTTATAGAAACAAAGAAAAGAGTGCTGAATTGCTATGTAATATCAGTTCCCTTATGTGTTAGACAATTTCCTCACAGTTGAAGAAAAGACTTGAAGCAACAGAGATGTTGTTCAACAGAAAGATGCTGAGAATTCCATGGACTGACCATGTGAGCAATGAAGAAGTTTTATAAAATGCCACTTACATATTAGCAAACCACCCACATTCTCTCCATATTTCATTGGCGAGAAGTAAGTCCCACTCAAACAGCTTCTTCACAATCCTCTGAAACAGACTCCTTAGTGGATGTTTCCCCAATCACTATAATCTTAACCTGTTCATGTCTAGAGTTAACTGTTATCTTTCTCTCCTATCCATATAAACTACACCTTAATGGAATTCTCTACCTCAGACTTTGTACAGAGCAAACCTTACTGTAAAAAAACAAAACAAAAATTGTTTGAAGTTGACTGGAAAGATAGTTCCACAAGCGAGAAGTGTGAAAAAAGAAATTGTTAGCATAGAACTTAGTTAAATCAACTGTAAAATGAAGAGACCTTGCTGCCAATCTAGTACATCACTTAAATTCATAAAGTCTAGGTACCATGGCAGAAGGTTTATCAGAACAATTACCATGAAATTATTTATAGAAAAGGCACAGGGAAGCTAAGTTATGGTGGAAGGAAAGGGACTGAAACTGAGATGTTAGTATAAAACAATTCCATGAAGGAAAGAAATCTATTGGGAGGAACTTTTAGAAAGAGTGTAAAATGGTTTAATGCTTACAAAGTTTGCAGAGCTCCTGTGGATTTAGATTGTCATCTTGCTTTTTCAGTTAAAATAACATTAACTGCTCAGCAACATGACATTGTAAGTAATTTTGAAATAAGGTGCTATTGAATTAACAATTCCAAGAATTCATTTTGAATACTTGAACATAATCTAAATCTTGGTTTTCTACTAGAAATGAGGAAACAAAAAGAAACAAGTAATTAGAACAACCCATACAAATTTCCTGTCATAGCATTTAATAATTTTTTTTTGCTATCTCTCCTTAAACCTGATCTGCCAACCATTTACACAAGCTTGTTAGATAGATTGTGTGCTGTTTTTCTCTGTTCCTCTTGCCTTCACTATGTCTTGTGAGTGTCAAAGTTTCTAATCCTGCTTTTTGTAGATAAAAAGTCATCAGAATAATCTTCATAAAGGAAATGGTCTATACACCAAAATAGAAGAGATCTGTTGTTTGAAACTTTTTAATATTTCATTAGGATATTTGAAACCATATACAAATTGTCTTCAGAAGAGTTATTCAAAGTACTAATTGTTTGCAAATGATTATTAGTTATTTAAAAAATTATCATTGCTTGAAATACCTGAAATCATATAACTCTGTACAAATTATTAGTGTCATGTATGTCTGGGTAAATTATTTTTACGAATAGGTACTTGAAGCTATAATTGCTTGGCAAAAAAGATTGAATTTGACACTAAATAAACCAACAAGGTTTAACATGTCAAAACCAACCAAAAGTAAGTGTTCAAAATTATTTGGATTTGGAGAGTTTAAGAATGTGAAGGGAAACCAAAGCTAATGGTTATTTTGAGACACATTTAGCTTAACAGTGAATTGCATAACAAAAGTCAATAGAAAATTTTAACATAAATGAATTCAAAACATGCATGAATTAACAATATTATAATAATGATAGTTTTATATACATGGTTCAAATAAAACAATTGAAATAAAAATCAGTAAAGTATGTAGATGTAATTTATAATTGTTGATAAAGAAAAAGTTTTGAGTGAAATAAATGTTCTTCCCAGAGGTTTGAATTTAAATTATCTGTATATATAAGCATGAAAGAAAGCAGATTTACATATACAGGCAAAGACTTGTGAGAGGTGACAAAGGATTGCATTTTAAATAAACAAGACACATGAGATAAACAGATCTTACTATATATATACTATATATATATATATATATATATATATATATATATATATATATATATATATATATATATATATATATATATATATGTATATTTAGGCAGCAATTTTTATTAATACATGTTTCATTAAATAATATAGATAAGTTTTGTGTATTTATTTTAAGTTACTTTCATATTGTCTGATAAGCTTAATAACATTATCATTGAAAGAGGAAAGGAAATCACCATATTGATATATGTTTAAATCTGATCTAAGCTTTTGGCTTACATAAGCCATTATCAAAGATGACAATTACATTACAATATATCAAACAATAATGATAGTCTGTTTTTGCTGCATGAAAAATTTCAAAGCAACAACAAACTCGTGTATACGAGACACGGAAGTGAAAATTTCGTCACAGCTTGTGACATCACACATGACCACGCGAGAGTGAAAACAAAAACCATTAAGTATGGGAAGCCGTTGGTATAAACCAATGGTTTCTGTTATCAATTATAGGCATTTAAGAATATTTATGATTTCATAGTTTATTTTGTTCAGGTTAGGTTTCAACTGCTTTATGTATAAAGCTTCAAGAATTTTTAGTTTTTGTTTATTGTTTTCATGTTTAAGTATAGTTGTGTTTTCAACAAGCATTTTCCAGAATTGTGTACTCAGCCAAGCATTTAAAACAACATGCCTGGATTATATTTTAACTGTTAAAATAAGAATTAGTTTGTTATATGTATG